ACAGACAAATCAGTACCAAAACAAACACTGATACACAGCACAGTGGCACACCAACAGAAGAAGAACTCACAACTTATTGGTCTTCTCTTTGGTCCAATGCTGTTACACACAATGCTGATGCAGGCTGGATTGAGGAGGAGAAGAGAAACTAGCATAACATACCAACTATGCCCTGTGCTGAAATAAACATACACGACATTCGCCACGCCATTAACTGAACACACAACAGGAAGACACCTGGTGTTGACAACATTCACAACTTCTGGTACAAAAAGTTTACATCACTGCACCAGGAACTAGCTAAACATCTAACACACATCATCGTCAATCCACAAGACATGCCAAAATTTCTTACTCAGGGCATTAACTACATGAAGCCTAAAAACAACAACACCACGGACTTCACACAATACAGACCAATTACATGTCTTCCAACACTATACAAATTATTGATATCCTGTATCACAAACAAAATATACAAACATGTTGACGAACACGACATTCTTACGGAACAACAAAAAGGTTGCCGTAAAAATCACAGGGGATGCAAAGAACAGTTACTCATAGATTCAGTTATTCTACGGCAAGCACACAAACAACACAGAAGCATACACATGGCATATATAGACTACAGAAAAGCATTTGACAGTGTTCCACACAGTTGGCTGCTACATATTCTACACGTGTACAAAATACATCCATCACTCATTGCATTTTTCCAAAACACTATGCAGCACTATAGAACAACACTACATCTCAGAATTTGTAACACTTTCATACAAACAAACGAAATATTCATTCGGCGAGGAATTTTTCAAGGAGATTCCTTGAGTCCTCTATGGTTCTGCCTAGCCCTGAATCCATTATCCATCATGTTAAACAATACGCATTATGGCTACAATATCAGACACGAAAAAACAACACAGTTTATGCTGTCACATCTCATGTACATGGACGACATAAAACTATATGCATCCACACAAAAACAACTTCAGCAACTCCTACAAATCACACACTCATATACCAAGGACATACAAATGGAATTTAGCTTAGACAAATGCAAAACACTTCACATAGAAAAAGGAATCCTGAAGAAAAAAGAGTTTGCACTTGGAAATGGAAATGTTATTGAATCTATGGAAGAGGGCGAGTGTTACAAGTATTTAGGATTCCAACAGGCCAAACTAACAGAACATACACAAATAAAGCAAAAATTAATTAAAGAATACCAAAGTAGGTTAAATGCCATTCTCAAAACACAGTTAAATGCAAAACACACAGTTAAAGCAATAAACACATATGTAATTCCAGTACTCACATACTCTTTGGAGTTATACACTTGACTCACACAGATCTCGAGCAACTCCAAAGGAAAACAAAAACAACACTTACTAAGCATAAACAACATCATCCTAAATCCGCTACAGAAAGATTAACCCTTCCACGTAAAGATGGCAGACGTGGCCTGATTGACATAGTTAACCTTCACTACAAACAAATACAGTCACTGCGAGAGTTTTTCTACAGGAAACAAGAAACATCACAGTTACATAAAGCAGTAACTCTAGCAGACTCAAATAGCACACCATTAAACTTACACTTACAACATAGACATGACACAACACATAAAAAGCATAGACACCATCAAGCAACCGTGGGCTCAAAAGGCACTCCATGGCAGGCATCCTTATGACCTGGCCCAGGATTTTGTTGACAAAACTGCGTCAAACAGCTGGTTAGATCGGGGATGCCTCTTTGGGGAAACGGAAGGATTCATGATTGCCATACAGGATCAGGTCATAAATACTAAAAACTACAGAAAACACATACTCAAAGATACAACACTCACAAATGACGCATGCAGAAAATGTCACATCATGCCAGAAACTATACAACACATTACATCTGGGTGCAAGCTCTTGGCACAGACAGATTATTTACACAAACATAATCAAGTAGCAAATATAATACAGCAAGAGCTTGCAAAGAAACACAGATTATTAGACATCCACGAACCATACTACAAATACATTGTTCAGACAGTATTGGAAAACAACAAGCACAAACTGTACTACGGCAGAGCCATAATTACAGATAAAACAATTTATCACAACAGACTAGACATCACAATCATTGACAAACACAACAAAATCACATACATAATAGACATAGCCATTCCAAACACTCACAATGTACAAAACACATGCACTGAAAAAATTAGCATGTACACAGAACTCGCCCAGGAAATAAGGCGTCTGTGGAGGAAGGAGAGGGTGCTTATTGTACCTGTTGTTTTCTCCTGTACAGGTGTGATACTATACACACTACACAAAAGCCTGGAAACATTACAATTGAATAGAAATACATACATCACACTACAGAAGGCCACTATATTGAATACATGCCATATTGTTAGGAAATTCCTGAATACAGACACTGACACACACATTTAAACTTAGTTTTGTTTTGGTTGCTATGCCTTGACTTTGGTCCGACATAGTACAAAGCAACCGGTGTAAACCGAGTATAACTCTCTAAACCCAACATAATAATAATAATAATAATAATAATAATAGACCTTGACGCCATCAGCTTCCCCCGCAAAAAAGGGTATCAGCAGAATCATGCCCCCAAGTCCACCTAACGTGTTACTTCCTGCTGTGTCTCCTCGCACACGTCCTTTTGCTCTTGCCTCCATCTTATTGCAATTTCTTTTTATTGTAAAATTTTCTCCTGCTCTCACACCACTGTGATCGGAGGGTCAGCACCTCTTCGGTGCTTTGTCAGGACTAAAACTACCGTGTCTCGTTTGACACGGAAGCCAATACAGCATGTTGATTCGGATTTGAAAAGGATCATGCGTGCGGCTGCATGCGTGGACGATCGAATTCAGGATGGAGATGGATTGAGAGTCTGTGCACTGGAAGTAGTACACTCAGGCTCTTGGATTAATAACAAATAACCGTTTAATAACTTTAAAGAGAAAGGTTACAGGTTACACATCAAGATTAACTGATATATTTAACGGAGTGGTCGTAAGAAAAAGAGAGAGTTTATATAATGTTCGCGTGAAAATAAATATCTTTTGTAACAGATGTTCTGGTCAGTCTGGTGTAGAATTGTGGGGAAAAAGTAATAGTTTGTTTTAATTAATTTCATGTTAAAAATAGCAGAATTGAAAGAACTGTTTTATTTTTTCACACAGCTTTGTTAACTGTACTGTGAACCACCGGGGAGAGTGGATGACTCCCTGTCCGGCAACAGGTCATAAAACCTTGATCACTGTCAGGATGGAAAATGTTGTCTAATTTTCGTAGCCCGTCTTAACGGGGTTTATGGTTCGGGTCGAGTGAAGGAGGATGGAGAGCCGTCGGCAAGGTGTTAGACGATATACGAGTAAACGAGGAGTCCAACTTATCATAAAAATATAACAATTTATTAAAGCTAATTTCGGGTAGTATAAGTCTATTTCGCGTCCCTAAAACGCGGAGAGACCGAGAGAGAGCTTACAATAATTGGTATCATACCTCTTTATGGTTTAAAATATCCTTGAGGAGAAAGGTCTTAATCTTTCGTGAGGAAACAGGTTTTAATCTTTCTTGAGGAAAATGGGTTTAATTCTTCTTGAGGGAAATTGGTTTTACTCCGATTGGGTCCGATCGGGTAGGCTTAGGACACTCTTCGTAGGACACAATATATCGATAGTACAATAATTTCGGCAACGGTAGATGAACGACTCCCCCGAGAAGGAGAAGGAAGGGGTTTTTATAAGTTTGTCGTGGGAGAACGGTCATGTGACCAATTGTTGTGAGGTAAAATGTACGCAGATGGATCAAAGTTGTCCCCGGGACCATGCTAACTATCAACTTAGCAGTTGGAATGTGGGATTAGTTTCGAAATGAACGGATGTTTATGTCGAACATAAAGGAAATTTTTTTCCGTTAGGTTTCACTTTAAATTAAAGAAAAATTTAATTAGATTTTTAGACAAATACGGGACAATTAATCGGCAAATAATCGGTAAAAATTCCGGATTTCACAGTACTGTTAGGTCACAGATAAGTGATAAGTATGTTCCAAATGTCATTACTGTACACTTTAGAGGAATTGAACTCTGTGGCCTAATTTTTTTCAAAGAAAGCACGAATACGATCGCAGTTCATTGCAGACATGTTGAAAATGCATTACGACGATTGCATAAATTAGTCGAACACCCGACCATTGTGAAAAATACTGAAAGAGAGGCGAACGTGCTATGTGACAAGCAGCAATCTGGTTGCAAGCACAGAAAGATACAGAAAACGTTACAAATCAACCTTTGCAAACTATAATTAAAAGTATGTTACAATTCTGATATATTTCCCAGTGGTATCCACTGCTTGGCTCAAAGGAAATAATTACCGGAATATTTTAATATTGTGAAACATAAAATACAATATAAATTTAAATACAGGTATCCGTCGTATAACACAGTAGTTACGTACCGAAAAACTGTCGTGTTACATGTATCCATGCTATAAAAAATAAAGTACTAATATAAAACATAGGGTTAGGACATAATAATTAACAAAAGAATACTATTGTGAGAATTCGAGCTAGTTTTTATTTCGACGATCTTAATATTATACAGTTTTTGTTCCAAGACAAGAGAGAATTATTTCGTTTAAAAAATTCAACGAAAGAAATGTTCTTTTGTTGAATTTTTCCTGTAACATATCCTACAGGTAGCACTTCTTTCACAGGTGACAAATAATCAGATAAAAACTACTCATCAAAGAAAATGTGAAAAAAGAAAAATGTCTTGCTGCTATCTTTAGCTATCAAAGTTTTCATTCTGTTCAACTATTAGCTGATCGAGGAACACTTGTCCTGTACAATTGTGAATACGTTATTTCCTTTGTAATTAGTAACCATTTTAATTAAAGACTAGCGATTCCACGAAACAAAATTCGCTGCAAGTCCTGAAGGGATTTTTCGAAAAAACAACTTTACGGCATGTTTCAAGAATTAGAAAAACGTTGATATTTTCATTGCTGTGAAAAAGAATTATTTTAAAAGAACGAAATAAATTTTGACGTTAAATTTAAATTCTGCTCTCTATTTAAATATTTCCGATACTTTTCATTACAGAGGTATTCATGCTCACTATAATCTTTACACTAATGAAACAGTGGAGATAAACGTTAGAAAAATGATAAAAGCTCAGATACAAAATATACAGCAATATCTACCTTATTTAGAATACTTATAACTTATGGAATTTTTCGAAAATGTTAAAACCGGTAATTTGCAATTTTGAATATTATGTAAGAGTTTGGTAAAGGTGCTGTTAGTGCCGGAAATATCAACTTCTATTTAAAAATAAAACTAGTTATTGCATACTTAATTAATTAATATGTTCATGATTTACTTTATGATCTCCAAAATAATTATCTTAAAATTTAAGTTATTTTAATCAAATTATTTCATTTATTACAGAAAGTTTTCTCTATTGCATCTTTATTTACATCGCCTTTCTTTATCATTTTTTCAATACTGATGTTATGGCAATATTATGGATGGACTATTTTAATGGGATATTTGGTAGTATTTCTCTTTGTTCCTATGCAATTTGCTTTGAGTAAAGTATATTCAAAATTAAGGTAATTATTACTTTAAATAATATAATTTTAAAGTAGCTGTAAATAAAATAAACAAATCATTCTTTATCTAATATTCATTAGTTAATGAGAGTGGAATTGATTTATTTAAAATTGATAAAATGTTAAATATTTATTGATATCTATGCTATATTACTTGATATTGGAAATGGTAATATGGCAAAGATTGAGCATACTGATCTCGACCAGCAAAAGAATTTTATAGGCCCTGAATTTCAATTATATGGAATGGCATTGACCAAGCTGAAAAAATGTTGAATTTCGTGGCTGTTTATCTGATTTCTGAACTTCATATTCTTAGCATATTCTTTCTATAGTACGATGTAATTCACGATTGAACAAAGGACATTTTTTTCTAACCTTTGTAAGATTAACTCACACTAGTTTAAGAGAGAACCCACGATGCGCATTCTTTTATGTAATGACAGAGACAAAATAAAAAAGGATGAACAGGGAAGATTGTATAGAATTAGAAAAAAATGTATAGAATATCGTATGAGAAACATCACTTTCACCATAAGAAGAAGTTAATCTGCGACACAAATAGAAACTTCGCAGATAGTAGATAAATGCTTAAATGTTAAATGCTGAAGATTTGTAACGTTTAAAATAAAATTACAGTATGATGAGTAATAACTTAACTTTTCTAAGTTTGAAACTTCACTCTCTCATCGTAAACTCCTTCAATACATACCGTGTTTCCCCGAAAATAAGACAGTGTCTTATATTAATTTTTGCTCTGAAAGATGCGCTAGGTCTTATTTTCAGGGGATGTCTTATTTTTTCCATNACATACCGTGTTTCCCCGAAAATAAGACAGTGTCTTATATTAATTTTTGCTCTGAAAGATGCGCTAGGTCTTATTTTCAGGGGATGTCTTATTTTTTCCATGAAGAAGAATTCACGTTTATTATTGAACAAAAAAATTCCCAAGTCGATCTTAGACGAGAGTGACGTATATCCAGAGGTGTCGAACTGAACTTAAATAGAACCGACGTCGATAAAGTTTATTGAACGCCTCAACCGGTAAAACCGATCTGGCATCCGGTACGACGACTCCTATACAGCACCCTTAATGGAAGGGAGAGAAGTCCCCCATCTCAAGTGTCAAGCAAGCAGCGACCAGTTGCAAAAAATTGCCATCATCGCCCGGTCCTAAGACCAGGCTAGGCCATTGATGAGCCTTACAATCAGGCCTCATCAGTAGACTCACGAAGTCCCCGTGCTGGAGTGGACTTCCCACTCTCGCTTCAACTTAACCTTTTTATAGCGTCGACATCGGGCTCCATGACCAATTAGTGCTTACTGAACCATAGCACTATGCATATGTGATGTGGCGTGATCCCCGGCCGACCAATTAGCGATCACCAGCCGTAACGTTATACACATCTGTGATTTCCATACCATAGTTTTATGCAAATCATGCCGTGTGGCGTGTTGTCTGCTGACCAATCAGTGGCTGTACTTTCAAAAAGCCAACGGCCACTTTCAACATCTGTCGATGACCGTTACGAGCAAAAAAACTTTGCTAGGTCTTACTTTCGGGGGAGGCCTTATATTTACCAATTCATCAAAACCTATGCTAGGTCTTATTTTCAGAGGATGTCTTATTTTCGGTGAAACACGGTAAGTAGACGCTTATCAGCCCCCATCCAGCAAACGAGACTAAACTTTATATTTTTATTATTTTGATTAAANACTTTCGGGGGAGGCCTTATATTTACCAATTCATCAAAACCTATGCTAGGTCTTATTTTCAGAGGATGTCTTATTTTCGGTGAAACACGGTAAGTAGACGCTTATCAGCCCCCATCCAGCAAACGAGACTAAACTTTATATTTTTATTATTTTGATTAAATTATTTACTTTTTGATATTAAGTTACAATTATTTGTTTTCGTGACACGTTCATTTAATTTCAATTCATAGATTCATTCATTCAATTCATTCTTAGATTTGTAGGTAAATTTTGTTTTAATGATCGAAAACGTTCGTGAAAGATTAAGGTTTTTCTCAGCAAATAAGTTGTTGGTAAATTTGCAGTTTTTAGTGCTGAGAATGATTACCAGGATAAAAGAATATAAATTAGAACTATGTAACATAGAAACTTTAATAGGCAATTCAGCTGTTTATTTTTACTTAAATTACAATACTCGTTGTGTATATTAAAATATGTTTCGATGTTTAGTTTTATTTTTTATTAAGTTTTCAGACTTGTAAAGTGATATAATAAGCATGGTTCGCTTAGTGCTATTTTTATTAAAATGGCGATAAAAATATAATACCGGCTATAGTACGTGTTGATAAAATTCCCAGTTCGGTTCTATCGACATTTAGCGTGAAACTGAATCACCAATTATACTTCTGGAAAAGCAGCAAAATCTCGAGCTTCCGTACAATGGGATTCCTGTGCATTATACACCTAGCGATTTCATGGCATCACAAAGAAAGTTCGGGCGGTAAAGTAAGATGTGACGTTGAGAACCAATGGAGTTTTGTACAATGAAACCTAAGGTTTTCAGAGTGAAGATTTTTTATCGATTAACAGAAAGTTTGGAGAAATTTTTGGGAAGAATTTTTTTATTTCGATCTTTTTCAGTAGAAAAAACAAAATTTTTCACTTAAATTTCTTATGACTGCTGTCATAAGAAATTTAAGTGAAAAATTTTGTTTTAAATTAAATTTTTCACATGATTAAATTTTTCACATGACAGAACCTGTAAAATACTATTTAACTTAAACGTCGCGATAAAATGTGTTATTAGAAATTATTCATTAAAAATTTAAAAAAAATTATTTTTATTGCTAACAATGGGATGTCCTTACAAGCTTCCGACATTAGTGCAAATGGACAAAAAGACAAATGGTATATAAATTGCATAGCGTGGTCGAATCGTTTTGTTCGTTTAATTGTTACTATTATAAACAATATTCTTACGCGCTCATCGTTGTTACGCTTTAAGTATCGCAATACTACTGTATTTGAAAATAAGCAGCAGAATGTTTTATTTAATAATATTATGCGAAAATTTAGAGGCGTGTTTTTCGTATGCAAGAAATAACGTTACAAATCTTAATTTCTTGTTTTATAAATTATGAATACGAGTAACAATAATAGTAGTAATAATGCTAATTATGCCATATAATAATAAAATAGTGTCACACAAAAAAGTTAAAATAAATTCAGTATGTTTGAACCTACATCGACTTGCTTTTTACTTAGCAATGGCCACTCCTAAACATGAAACATCAAAATTTTTTAAGTAAAACACTCAATTTTCAGAGGCCACATCTTTGGAAATATTTGAAAAGTGCATCCTATTATTTTGACAAGGAACTGTTTCGTTTAAGGCTACGTGCTCACTAAGTTCCGATCGAATCGAAGACAAGAATTACTTGCCCTATCCTTGTATGTGACAGTTTAAAACGTTACTTTTGCTTTCCAGACGTCAAACTGATAGGCTACAAGCACCTACATCAATGAACAAGTAAAATTGGTGAAGTAAATATCAAATGGCGAAAAACATTTAAAACTAGCGACACTGTAGCGATCGTTTTAAATTTTCTAGACCGACCCCTGCATGAATATTGGTTCTGAAACTTGTACAATATAATTATGTTTCGAGTTTTATTTTTTTATTGTACCAAAAATAAGTACAAGACCAGGCCCCGCGTTTGGCATTACCTGATGACACAGTTAATGGGATACAAGAGAAAATTACAGTATTTCCCGAAACACAATGAAATCAAATACATAAAAATAGACAATACGATACAAAACAAACATGAGGTACGTGAGAAGAGACCAGAATGTACAGTATAACGCAATACTTTAGAATACTGCATTAGTTATAAACAAAGCTCATTATATACTGTACCAATTGGCAGAAGCCTAACATGATAGCTAGACTCGTTAACAAGATTAAAATACAAAATAGATCTGTATGTTCAGAAAAAACAGTATACATAGATTAGTCCTTACATGTGACTTTCTGTAAATATTGGTTTTTAACTCTTATATAACTAGGGCATTCTTTGTCCATAGCGTTGTGATGAAATTGTTCACGTTTTTCTTTTACACAATTGGTGCAACGTGGTAAAGATACTGAATCTATACAGTCCTTAAACAAGTGATCACCTTGGCAATGACTGCAGACACGTTTTGGGGACGGGCATTCCTTTGCAAAATGTCCGAAAGCTAGACACTTGAAGCACTGTCTAACTGGAATGTATTCGAACACCGGACAACTACTCCACTTGATGTACATCTTTCCCTCCCTAAGTAATCGTTCTCTGATACTTGGAGTGACCTCAATGATCCATGAATGATATTCACTGTTATTTTGTTTTAATGCATATTTAACTCTAACATGATCTGGAAATTCATCTTTTTCAACACGAAGCGCCAAATAATTTTGTTCACAAATGTGTTTTTCAAGATCATCTTTAGTGATAGACTTATGAACCGAAACGATCTTAATAAGAGGTCGTTGTAGGTTTCCTCTACGAGCCTTGAGTCCCGATACTTTCTCCAATAAACATTCCAAAACTTCAGCATCTGAATCATCGCAAACATCAATTACGACTCCCCCCTGGTTAATTTTTATTATCTTTTTTATCCCTACACCAGCTGCTGTTGGGTCCACACTTTTGGTCAAAGTTGCTCTTGTTTGTTCAGAGGTAAAGTTCTCGTTTTCACTATAAACCAGTATTGTACAGGTAGGTGAAGGTGGTGATGTTTCGAGTATGAGATACTCCTGTACGAATGATATTTCTTTTCTATTTTCCACTCTGTTCTCCAATCGACGAATTACGATTTAAACCAGGGGTCGCCAAACTTTTTTAACTGTCGACCCCGAACAACTTCCAAAACCCCACATTGTCCCCCACCGTAAAGTTTTATAAATAGTGCAATTGTATGAGCAAAAAATAAACACACTTTGTGATCTTTAGCATAAATTTTTCAATCTACCCCCAATCGATCCCCTAGCCGCATCGACCCTCAAATTGACCCCCTGGCATCATCGACACTCCCAATAATGTTACATTGACTCCTGGGGGTCGATATCGATTACTTTGGCAACCCATGATTTAAACGGTCCTATTTTCAGCATTTAGTAAATAAATTCAATAAAATAAATAAATTATTAGAAATTATAAAAACTTTGTTAAAGCTTTTACTTATATGAAATTTAAATACTTGAAATAATCTTTAGGATTGAAATAGTACAAAAAGAGATTCGAGTAGCATAAGCAATTCTTGTATTATTCAATGCTTGATAACTTTAACTTTTAATATAAGATTATTATTAAATAAAATCTATTTTTTCATTATTTAGTTTTATACAATTTTCTGTTAATAAATTCAATTACATAATAGATTACAAGCAGCTATTTTGGCAGACGAAAGATTGAATTTGTTGAACGAGATGATTGCTGATATGAAATTAATTAAAATGTACACCTGGGAATTGCCATATGCTGCATTAATAGAAAAAACCAGGCTGTAAGTACAATTTAATGCAGTAAAACCTGTGTAAAACGGAATCTTAATAAGACGAATGCCTCAAAAATAAATTTTTTTTCAGAAGCACGTTTCTGTTAAGAAGAAAAAAAAAGTATTGTTCGAAATATAAATTTGACAAAGTGGATAAAAATATTCAACAATATCTGATTCCGGTTTACAAAAATTTTCATATAATTTCTATATGCTAATGTGTTAATCTTTAAATAAATATTTTCAGTGTTCTGTGATTAACATTGTTTAATTGTTTACATTTTAGGAAAGAAATAAAAACAATTCGAATGTTTTTATATTTAAGCGGAATATCACACATATTGGCGTATCCTATATCAAAATTATTTATTCTTCTGTCATTTGTCGCAATTTTATTAAATGGAGAAGAATTAAATGCCAAAATTGTGTTCGTCACAATGGTTTATTCCCTGTACATTTTCGTCAGCATTATTAGTCATTTTTCTCATGGAATGAGTTTTGTTGCAGAAATATTGGTTTCATTGAAGAGGATACAGGTAATAAACAGTTTCATATCTATTCTTTTAAAATTTAACTACTGCAATACTAATTTAAAAATTATTTGAGAATGACAATATTTGATTAGTAATATTATTGTTATTAATGATATCAAATGTTAACACCTGTCAATAACGATAGTTGAATAACTACGAAATATAAGCAGGAAAATTTACTCAATAGACAACATTTTGTGGTAAATTATATAATAATTTGCAAACTTGTTACACGCGAATATGAAAGGGTTTAGGTACGAAGATTTAATTAAATCCGAATAATGTCTGAAATTAAGGTTCCACTTGTAAATGAAATAGTTTAATTTTCGATTTTTACCATACATTATAGAAAACTGTATTCTGAGAATGAGTTCGAATTTCTTCACATTAACGAATGTCACATTGAAATGACATTATGATCGACATAAGTTTTCATGAGTAGAAGTCTTTGCTATAATTAGTTATGGTTGGAATTTAATACATTTAAGAATTAATAATTTTGAAGACTGGAATAAGTTTCTAAAAACTGAATTTTCATAAATAAGCAAGAAATAAAATTAGTAAAATACAATGAGAGTAAGGTTACATAGAAATGTCAGCTTGCATTGTATGCAGAAGTTTGTAACTAAGCAACACGCAATATTTAAAAAAATTTACTAAAAGTACTCAAAAAGTTAGATCAGAATAGCTTTATATCACTATCACTGTTATTCTATTATAATTTCTCGCCTGAAGACCAACTTACTGTTTACGTTTTTTTTGTTTGTTTTGTTAATTTCTGTTTCTCCTTTGAGTAATAAAACAGGTCATTTTACGCTTATAGTTTGGCCAAGCCATTATATCAATGACCTGGTAAGAAAGGTTATTATTGATGTAATGTTTTCTATAGCCTACTTCATAAACAAATATTGGATAATAATTAGGTTGGGTTTAATTTAATCTCAGATTCCCCAGAATGATATGCAGATATTTTAAATATACTCTGGCAGTTCTATTGATAAAAAATAGTTCTTTTACTTTAACATACATAGTTATTTTAATTTTTACACTAGCTTGCTCAATGTTATTTGACCCTATGAGCTTATACGGATTATATCCGAAGACTTCTACTATTCAATTACTGAGCTCAAGTTGCACTGACCAATGGCAAACGTCTTTATTTGGAAAAATATTGAAAATTAACTTTCACACTTAATATCATACTTAATCAATAGATTAATTCTTTATTGATAAGATATTTGTGAGAATCCGAACAGGAAGTGCCTGTAGTATCATTAGTTGTAGTTGTTGTGTGTGCTATAATCAGTGCTTGTTGCTGGATTATCCTGACAGATTACGTGATTTTCATTAATGATAGATGTTTCTGTCTGTTGTTGTATTTGATCAGCAACCTGTTGTTTGATAAGTTCAACTGTTGTTTGTTGGACAAGGTTGTTGTGTATAATTGTTCTTTTTTAATCAACACCCCTTTGTTCGGGGACAGTGAATTGAGGATATTGTTGTGTCAATCTATGGAGTAGTTGTTAATTCCATTTATTGGCATGGTTTACCAGCTTTTGTCGTCAGTTTATGCATTGTCACAGAAACACCATGGGTAGGTTGATTTCTCTTATCTGTTGAGGGCATTGCAGTAGTCATGTTGGGTTGGCGCTGCTTTTGCTACCGGTAACCAAAGGAGTCTGTGGCTTATTTTCGAACGTGAGTCTCTGCCTAACGCGGACCGGGTTAACCCTGGCAACGTCCGAGCCGATATCACACTTACATCTGGTTACTACCATGATAACTATCTTCAGAGAATGTGGATGTAGTCACTCTTAACTTGATTACACTCCATAAACCTCATTGACATGAGTATTACTACCAGTTGCTTGTGCTGCAGCCCGTATTGCTCTATGAATCAGTAAAGTTACTAGAATCTCCTATTACAACCAGCTTGTGACTGCAGGAGAGTTGTCATTATTATTATAGTTATCAATCCACCTCGATTATATCATAAGATTTACTTTGAAAGAAGAAAGGTGATGTCTCGGACAATAAGTGCCTCTCTTGGTACAACGGTTAGGTAACATACTCAATAATAAACATAGAACAAATAATATAATAAAATATTACAATAATTAATAATAATCGTATTTTGTACTTTTTGTTTAGTCGTATTCGACTATCAGTCAAAGCTCTCCATGCCTTTCTATCTTGCACAGTATCCTTCAATTATAGACAATTCAGTGTCTCTTTCAATTCAGTCAAGCCACCAAATCCTTGGTCGGCCTCGCTTTGTTTTCTGCTAATTATCCCCAGCATGACCGCCTTGTCAAGTTCTTATTATATGATTATAAAAAGATAATTGTTGTTTGATGATTTGAGATATTATTATTTAATGAAATCTCTCTCACGCGTATCTTACTCTAATTTGATTAGTCTGTTATTTTATGTAGGTACTTTGAACTTTATCTATGTAAACATTTCCCTGGTAATGCTTTCTGCCGGACCAAGAATCTACATGTTGTTTGTGCAATAAAACAATGAATGAATCAATGATGATCAGCGATTTCATTAGATTTTCGATTGGGCTGTGTCTAAGACAGTTTCTTTGCTGATCCTCGCTGTACATGGAATGCGTAAAATGCCGTCTTGAACACCGCATTCGTTCTTTCATTAGCTTTTAATAATATATGATACATGTATGTCCTGATCCCGCTATGCATAATACAAACAATGTCTCCAACACCACAGTTAAAAATCGTCTATCTTTATTTTGTTCTCTTTCTTTACAGTCCACGTTCCACAGTCATATATGGCCATAGGAAAAATAATCGAGTTCAGTAATTTGCATTTAATTTGGAAGGAGATGTCTTTGTTCTTTCAACAGCTGTTTATGCTTATCATCGAAGTCTGTCCAAGAGCTATGCAGGACTGAGTTCAGGACTACAATCGTCATTACGGTCGATTTTGGACCCGAAGAATATAAATTCTTTCACTACCTCGATTTCTTGGGTGTTGGTTACAATTTTGACTTTCTCATTATTTCTAGATATCATTATTTTGGTATTTTTGTAGGTAAGAAGCAGCCCTACCTTTGCACTTTAATGCTTGACTTTCAGAAGCAACTGCTCTAGATCGTTCTATCTTTCTGTCAGCAGCTTGTTGTCATCTACTGATACATATCTGAGATTATTAAGGTTCTACGTCTAATTTTATTTCCAATCTTATACTCATTCAAATCTGCTTTTCACATCGCCACCTCTGCATACAAAGTGAATAGTGATGGTAAAAGGATTCAGCTGTAGAGGGTATTCCTTCTAATTTTGAACTAGTTTTTTATTACTATTTTATACATTGCTTCCTGACTAGTATACAGCGATTATAAGAGCTGTGTGAGATGCGGTGAAATTCCTATTTATTAGACGCACTTCCACAACTTGTCGTGATTAATGCAATCGCCAACCTTTCAGTAATTAATAACAAACATCAAGACATACTCGTATTTTTGGTATTTCATCGCTGTTTCCATCATCCATCGAAAATTACGATATGATCATCTGTTTTTCTTACCTTTGGGAAACCTGCTTGTACATCTGGTATTTCTCTTTCGAAAGTTGAGTTCGTACGCTTTTGAATGATCTTCATTAGAATCTTACTAACATATGAAATAATAATAATACAATTTGCATAAATAAACATTAAAAACAGTGATCATAATAAAGTATTTTTTTACAAATAGCTATATATTTATGAAAATTTAGATATGACTTGTTTTCAAAAGTACGTTTCTTTCTTTTTGCGATATAAAAACGATTGACATTTAAACAACAAAATGGTGATTGAATGTGGGACTTTATCTCGTGGTAACGAATAGAATACGAATGTGAATATATTGTCAATGAATTAAGCCGTTGAAATGTTTTGAATATATATTTGATCATAATGTTCTATATGTTTCATGCGGAGGAATAAGACTAAACGGGAATGGGCTACGTCGGTCCGTAAAAGTAGATGAGAGAGTTTATTCAGAGTTAAGTATATTTTAGACAATTCGGCATTAAGTTTATTCAATAAGGACACTAAGACTCGGGCCAAAAAAATAAAGCCTAGCCATCTGCGGATTGAATATTAGTAAAAAGTATTACGCTAAGTGTATTCTTTTTAAGTACACATTCAAAATTATTCCAGATCATTTACTTCTCGACGTACAGAGATTTTCAATTAAGTTTTCTACGGATAATTTAAATGACAGTCTGGGATCAAATATTAAACCGAGATTGTATGGGTTGGAAATAACAATTTTAATATCTTCAGCACAGTCGTTAATGAATTAGAAAGAAACAAGTGATACAGATTTATCAATGTAAGCGTGATGGGGAAGTTAGTAAGTATCAATATGATATTAAGACTGTAAACTATTTTTAATATTCTGACGATACACTCTTTGTTTATTACGGAATAGTTTAACATAAGAAGGACTGTCTATAAAATGTATTCGAATACTACAATATTTAGTTAAAATTTTTTGCATGACTTTTCATAAAACCTGTTAAAAATATTTTTTTAATGTATGGCAGAAGCAATTTTACAATACAAATGAACTCAACGGTGCAGTATATCTTTGATATGTTAAAAAATTTAGTAAAATCTGGTCAAACATGATAAAAGTCAATATCGTGCTTTACACAAGTTTTTGCATTTCCTTCCTCTGTGAAGAATCGGGTTTATATATAACTCACATGAGAACGATATATTCAATTCTGAGAAATCTGTCTAGCATACGTATAATGAAACAATTTTACAAGTAAAATAACTGAAATGTATCGGCCATACACCTATCGTTGTTTAAAGTAAAATCTGGAAATAAGTACAGTAACTTAAATACCAAGTTTATAATATTCGTATTTGAACGTTTATAAAACACCTTCTAATCATTTTTTTCTACAAACGTAGATATTCATTTTTAGTTATTTTGTTCTGGTTTCTTTTGTTATATAGGCCTATATTAACGTTTTAGCCAGATGAAAACTTTGGGAAATCGAATAGTTAAACACAAAGTTAGATATTATTAGAATAGATCGTGTTTTAAAAAAATACTTTAGTTATTTTAATGACCCCGAGTTGATTTTAAATCCCAGGAGTGGTAGCTCAGCACATTAAACGCGTGTTGTGTTTCGCCGTGTACAAACTTCCATTAATAAAAACATTTTCGGAATTTTAATTTAGGGTTTCCTACTCCTTCATGAAAAAGAGAATAATGCTGTCAAAACTGTAGAAGAAAAAGATAATTTAAAGGAAATACGCATGGATACTGTCATGGCTGCATGGAAAAAAGTAAGACTTGGCTTTAAATTTAAGTTTTACAATGTTAATAATAGCTTTTGCGATTTGTTTAACTCGATAATTTTAAAGTACTGTACATGTATTTAATTAGAAGCATTTTCACGTAAAATGATTGATCGCCGCTGGTTGTTTTGTTTTTTGAATTTATACATTTTTAAATTAATAAAAACCTTAGCGATATCCGTTAAGACTTCAACCAAAACAACAGTCATTTTCATTTACCAGTAGATAAGTGAGTAGTAGTGATTTGAGTAGCACTGATCACAAAATTAATTCTTCTAAGCACAAAAGTAATTTTTACTAAAAGGAAATAATCCGAATGTTGAGAATATTCAATTAAATTTTTAAAATATGAAAGAATTAAATGTTTTAATATCGAAAAAATTAAATCACAATAATTGTGTGAAATAATATAACACCAAAACGAATTTTTTATACGAATAGATCGAATAAGTTTTATATTATTTAAGCTTTTTCAGTTTTTTTCATTTACTTTATCTAAAACATGACATACTCATGGTCTAATATCTGATATTTTATAAATGAAGATTTCAAATAATTTGCCTAGTAATTGTTTTATTATCAATACTAGAATTAATTATTTTCTTGATAAATATTTGTCTTAATATTCGGGTACATGACAGTTTGAAATAATATAACACTGAAATTATTTTGAAAAGGTTTTTATTTTTACGTTACAGTTTATTTAAGTGTTTCCAATTTTTCTTTCAGTTTATCTAAAGCAAGACATTTATACACGTAATAATTTTAAAATTATTTTTTTAGGATATAAATTATTTTCAGATAAAAAATCTCTGGAATAAATTAAGATTATAAATAATTTTAGTATCTAGGAAACTTTTTAATTCATTTCCTACGAAAAGATTTTTATATTTAGAAAACTTTTTAGTTCAATTCATTTCTTTATATAAAATTAATATGCGATAATAATTTTTACAATTTGTACTAATATGCAAGTAAAATAAAGCAAAGTAAAATAGGGAAATAGTTCGATATAATAATTATTTAAATTATATTTGTTACTTATTTATTAAATATCGCAAAGAGAACAATGCTTTTTATGATATTTGTGGCAATAACAAGTTTTTAAATATTGTCTGATCTTTAACACTGAAGAAGTTTGATGTCTACATAATTGTAGGAACAGTTTTAAAAAATTTTTTTTTCTATCTATCCACATTTATATAAAAATAATTCGTTATACATTGTGAAATGATTTAATAACTTTTGTAAATTACTATGTTTTTCATCTATAAAATTTAATTTATGAGTTTTTTTGCTAATAAAATCGACTTGCCGTTGATCTTTCGCTGATGATTGATACTTTTTATCAGAATCTATATAAATGTCTATTACAGCTTCTATAAGACTGTGTAATGTTTTTATGGCCAACTGTCAATAACTTAAAATGCTTCAAAATCTATTAGAATCGCATTCTGCAATTTTATATAAATAAAAATTAGTATTAGTATTATTTTATATTCAATAAGAAAATAACAAAAAGATTTAATACATAAATATTTTTTACTGACCATATAAAATGTTCATTGATATACTAAATATCATGTTTTCCAATTATTGATATTATATCAAAATTATATTTAATTATTTCATCTATTTTATCAAATTGTTAATGTGATATCTATAAAAATATAATTTTTAAAATTTATATTGTAATTGAATTAAAATTAAACTTATGTTTTTAAAATTAAATAAATTTAGTTTTAATTTTCTTAACACAAATTTGAATTAAATTAATTTTATCTTAATAATAAGTTTAATATATTCCATTTAATTATTAAGGGAGACCGGGGCAAGATCGGCATGTCAAGCTTTACTTAAATTTTGTGTAATAAATACTGCTGTAAACTGAAAAAAACGCTTTGCATATTGTCTATTGGAATGTTTTTTTACTATAGAACTGGTTAGCATCAGTTTGGAAGTAAAGATAATTAAAATAATTACAACTTTACAAGAAGAGAAAAATTGCCGAAGTTGCCCCGAGTATAGGGGCAACTTCGGCAACTTCTCTCTTTTTGTAAAGTTGTAATTATTTTAATTATTTTTATTAAAGTTGCCCCTGGTATAGGGGCAACAGTAATGGGGCAAGATAGGCACGTATATAAAATTATGTTATTAACAATGTATAAGTTGGAATTCACTATTAAAACAAAGAAATACAAATCCAACACCCATTTAATATTATTACAACGAAATGCAAGTTCAAAGACATATATACATGAATAACAAATGCAAACATGTTTTCATTTATCATCTGTTTGATTTTTATCCTTTGCTTCTAATGTGGCTTTATGTTGCCGATCTTACCCCGCTAGTCATGATTTCGAAACATTAAGTACAACCCTGAGAACAGAATGCCAAGCCATGATCTGGCCACGTGAATAAGTTGAAGTTACATCCTTCTAACAGGAAAAGTAACTTTCGTTATCATGGAATTATAACAAAACCTGCCAATTCAATGTAAATGGAAGCAAAATATTATATGGAATTGAACGAAAATGAAAATTTGCTTTATAATTCAACTACGCTTGTTGGAGAACAATAAAAACACTACACTCAACAAGCCACCAATAAAACTCAACTGCCTAACCTATAACCAAAGTTTCTTTTTAATTTGTTTTTAAAAAAAAGCGCTTGACAAACTTGCCCTGCATGTTGAAGTTGCCGCGGTCTCCCCTAAATTTATTATAAAATTAAGTTGTACTAATTTGTAATAATAATTTTTAAAATAAAAATTTGTTGAGTAAATTAAAACGTGACAATTTAAAATTAATTATCAAGTGTTTTTACCAATTAATTATTTTTTCTAAGCGAGTAGGTGTCAAACTTTTCTTTTTTCGATCACAAATCTTAATTTTATTTAAACAATAAGTCAAACATTCTGTATTCATTATTAAATGTTTTTATAAATTTGAATTAAATTTATTTCATTTTAACAATAAGGCTGTTTTAATAAATGTTTGAATATCTGAGAAAATTAAAACACAATTGCATTAAATAATATAACATCAAAACAAAATTATTTTTGAAACTTTTATTTTTACATTAATAGATTATTTTATTTAAGCTTTTGCAGTTTTTTTCATTCAGTTTATCTAAAGCAAGATATATTTCTACACATAATAATTTTAAAATTAATTTTTCAGGATATAAATTATTTTCAGATCAAAAATTTCTCGGATAAATTAAGATTATAAATAATTTTTTTAATATTTAGGAAAGTTTTATTTAATTTGCGATAATAATTTTTACAATTTGTACTAATATCGTGGTTGAAAATTATTAATATATATTTGAAATTTTTATTTGTTGTAATATCCGAATAAATTAAAGCACAAAAATTTGAAATAATATTTTAACAATAAGTAAAAGTTTCTGTATTAATTTTTAAAATGTTTTTATAAATTTGAATTAACTTAATTTTCTTTTAACAATAAAGCTGTATTAATTATTAAATGTTTTAATATCGAATAAAGTTAAAACACAATAATTGTATGAAATAATATAATGCCAAAACGAATTTTTTTATTTTTTACATGAATAGATCAGATAAGTTTTATAAAATAAAGCTTATTTTATACTTATTAAAACTTATTTATTTACGCTTTTCCAGTCTTCTCATTCTCTTTATTTAAAATATGACACATTTTTAATATTTTAAAATGTAACACCATGAAAGATCATTTTGGAAGTCATCAATAAATTGTTAGTCAAGTATTTGGAAACGTGAAACGTAATTCCAGTTTAGATAATCTTTTAATAAGCGTAAAGTCATAGTTTTTAATGTTTGGTATTTTAAAATTTTTTTGAATATCAAACTTATGTATGTATTGTCTAATAAAATAATCTGAAAAAATTTGAAATTTGGAAAATTTATTCTAATCAAGATATTGTGAAAAGTTGGTTAAGAATGATTGGTCTAACACTGATACTTGCAAATTAAATCCTATTTTGCATATTTAATGTTTTTCATTAAAAGAAATAGCAAATATATAGTTTTTTCATAGGATTTCCCAATTTAACTTATCAGCGAATTCAGAAATGAATGTGAGATAAATGTTTTAAAAATGTTTTAAATGTTTGACGTAAAATGTAAAATGTTTTAAAAATGTTTTTATAACAGATCTTTTAATATATTTAGCAGTTTTTTATTTTGTTTATCGAAAATATAAGAATACATCTTTGGTTTTAACGAACAAAACTGAATTATTCGTTTTGACAATGTTTCATTTTTAAAATATCCTAATTTATTTTTGTTCATTTCTTTATATAATTTGTGAGTTTTAGGATAGTTACTGAAATAAAAAATATCTGAAAACGATTTAAAATCCTCATAAGTATCATTTGTATAAATTTGAAGTATTAATGAATCTGTGTCAGTGTATAATAAATGTAGGTTTTCACCATATCTGTTTTTAAATATTTTATAAAATGTTTCATATATATGTATTTTGCTTAATTTTAATAAACAAAAACCTATATAAATAGGTTGTCTAAACATAAATTAGGTTTCTTCATTTTAAAAATTGCAAGATTATCGTTTATAATTTGAAATTGTTTTGCAGATGGTTGAGATAGATATCGGTGATATTGATTTAATGTTGTAGCTACTTTTAAGTTAATACGCTTTCTTGCATTTTGACATGTTTTTCCAAAAAAACTATTATTCATTTATTTAAAAAATGATTTGTAAAAATCATTAGTCGATTCTTGTCTTTTTTTATTATTAAATAATATATAATTTTTAAGCCATGCACTTTGACAAAATGCTAGTACTCTATGAATTTTAGTTACTATCAAACCTTCATCCAGATAAAATTTTAAATTTCTATAATGAATTAGGTAATTTTTTTTATCAAAAAGAGTAGAAACGAATTTTTTATTAGTATTAGTATATTTTAAATTTAATTTACCTAATACTGTTTTCTGATAATTAGATAATATATCAC